AAATTCTTTATAATTTTAATAACCTTAACATTTTTATTAATGTACAAAACTTACCCGCAAACAAAGAGTAAGAGAGAGCAAAAGGAATCAAGAGATCGAGAGAGGCGGCTAGAGCAGCCTTTTAATTAAGAGGAGTGCTAGGGCCAGTCGCCTTCTGCACTCTCCGGCCAACACTTTCACTTTTATTGGGCCACGTTATTCTGGTCGGAAAGAGGTTGCATTGAAAGCCTGAAATGAGCTTACGTGGCCCAATGAAAGGGGAAGTGTTAGCCGGAGAGTGCAAGAGGCGAGTGCCCCTAGCACTGCTCTTTAATTAATAGGGGTTGAAGTTTATTAAAGTTGTAATTAATGAATGTCAAGAATAAACTATAATTAAAAAATAATTTTTATAGCTATGCATAATGCTGGGCGTTTGGTTTGAATTGTTTGAATTGAATCAAAATTTTAATTATTAGAAATAATTTTGGATAAAATTTTTATACTTAATTCGAACTAAACTTTTAATTTAGTTATAATTTCAGTTATTTAAAAATATTCAGATAATTAGGTTAATTAACTAAAATAATTAAAAAATATTATTATTATTTACTTTTTGTCATTAAAAGCTTTTTTTTTTTTTAATTTTGATTATTTCTAACTTTTTTTCTTCATAATCTTATGTATAAATTTGACTAAAAAAAGAATTTTGTCCAAAAAAATTTTATATAGCACAAAAACTAAAATAAAAAAATAAATTTATACTAAAAATTTCAAAGAATTTCAGATAGGTTGGTAGCTTATATCGATAATTTTGAATAATCAAAATTAATTTCAATTATTTTGGTTTTATTCAAATATTCGAAATATCCGAATCAAAATAAAAAATTTAGTTCAGAAATTTGAGTAGTTTGGTAATATTTGAAATGTGCCTACCCCTACTCTCCAATCCTCCTTCCTCGTCCCTTGATATTGACGAGTAAGATTGGATATTTAGTTTGGATTAACTGAACCAAACTAAATTTTTTATTATATAAAATAATTTTAAATGAAACTTTGATACACTATCTGAACTAAATTTTTAATTCAGTTACAGTTTTAATTATTCAAAAATATCCAAAATAATTAAAATATACCATTATTCTTCACTTTTTGTCATTAAAAGCTTTTTTTTTTTTTAATTTTGATTATTTCTTGTCCTTTTTTTCATATTCGTATATAA